ATTTTGGTCCTCAAAACCAACTTTCTACCACTGAAATTCCTCTAGAATTCAATGGTTTTAAGGCCAAAAAAAGATGGACTCAAAAGCCTTAAAAAGATGGCTCAAAAGGCTTTACAAGCCAAAGAGCAAAGGGGGGGAACCACCCCCTAGCTAAACAAGACTCAAACCACCATTTTAAAACCTTAAAAATAGAGGTTTTTAGAGGTTAAAACCAACCTCAAAGTAGCATGCAAAGGTGGTGAAACAAGTGTGCAAAGATAAGCTTGAAAGGGGTAAGTGTTTACTTTTGAAGCACAGTAGCAAAACAGCCACTTTCTTGGGCTCAAACAACCTTTTAACAGCTCAAATTAGGCTCCAAGGGACCTCAGCCCAAAGATATGCAACTTTGATGAAGGATGTCTAGGCAAACTAGAAGTGTTTTTCTACTTCTATGCACAAAAAGGCAAGAGAGAGAGAACTCTAGAGAGAGAGGCAGAGATTTTGCTCACAAAATTGTAGAGAGAGAGAGATTTTAGAGAGAGTGACTCCCAAACTTTGTAACCCCCCAATATATGAGATATGGCCTTCATATATAGCAAAAATGAGAGCCTTGGTTGAAATATTTGAATATAGAGACAGCTGGAGCATTTGGAAGACAGTTGGAGCAAAATATCTTCAAATTATGAGCTTTCTGGACATTTCTGGCCTATCAGCCATCTTGGTGGCCAACCTGCTACTTTTTTGGCCGACCAGCTACTAATTTTGGCCAATAAGGGTCACTTTTGGCCGACCTATGGCCGGCAAGCTCCAATTGTGGCCGACACCCTCCTACAGAGGCCGACGGCAAAACTAGTCCTTTCCCCTGACTTCAGCCAGGCATAACTCCTTCATCTAGGCTCCTTTTCAGGTCATTCTTGAGCCTAAAGTGTAGCCCCGGAAGTCTTCTTTCCAATGGTGTCAGGCTAACATCAAAATTCCAAGTGTGCTAAGAGATATCCCTCTTTTAGTGAAGACTTCTCAGTTTCGGTCTGACCGGATTGATGCCTAACTTCAACCAGCCATATCTCCCTCATCTGGCCTTGGCTTTAGGAGATTCTTGAGTGCAAAATGAAGCCCCAGAAGTCCAATTTCCAACGGTGGTGGTCTCATAGCTGAAATCCAAGTGCACAAATGGATAGGCCCAATTTAGCGACGGCTGCTTGACTCTCTCTTAACAATTCATGCCCAACTTCTCTCCCAACTTGCTTTCTTCTCTCCTCTCCTCTTTTCTTCAAATTCAAACCCCTAACCAAGATGCTTTGAAATATTTTTCAAAAATTTCACCTCTCTTTCATTCATTTCCACTTTGCCCTTGCTCGGTTTACCGAAAAGCGTAACATTTTAACGAAATGCGAGTCTCGGAACATCGTAGGAACTTTTTTCAAAAATGTTTTGAAAGAGAGGGTTTTAAGGTCTAAAATAGTTTTTTTCAAAATCATTTTGGTCCAAAAATGGGGTGTGAGGTTAGGATTTAGAGCTCTCTTTGCCGAAGAAATCGAACCTTTGCATTGCACACCTTTCATCACCAAGTAAACAATCAGTAGCGCCCAAGTTTTAAGGGCAGTAAAAAAATGGGGTGTACAGCATCTAACAATTTTAACACCTCTTTTTTTTTACTACCTCTTTCATTTTGAGATTAAGCCTCTGTTGCATTTCACGAGAAGATTTGGCGTCTTTCTCTAGATGTATAGGATACATGCACACAGAGGGATCTATCCCTCTCAAATCAGCCACCAACCACCCTATAGCACTTCAATGTGCCACGAGAACACTCATTAATTGACTTTCTTGCTCTGCAATTAAGTCAGATGCAATTATGACTGGTAAAGTGTCCTGAGGCCCTAAAAATGCATACTTGAGTGTGGCTGGGATTGGCTTCAACTCAAGTGTAGGTGGTGTGACTAAGGATGGTACGGCGGGATCTCTTTAGTCTTGGTTTTCATTCAATCTCATCAACAATCTTTTTTAGAAATTCATCTTCTAGAATTTTTTTTTAAAACTTTTTCAATGATTGCTGGCATGTAGAAATGACAGCTAAAATTCGACCATGTTCATGTAAGACAATCTCAATTTTATTTCTTCCCTGCTCATACAACAATTCCTTATGATCGGTGAGCAAACATGCCAAATTCCCAATTGCCTTTCTACTTAAAGCATCTATAACTATATTTGCCTTTCGCGGATAGTAAAAAATATGCAAGTCATAGTCTTTAATCAGTTCCAACCATCTTCTTTGTCTCATATTCAGTTCTTTCTGAGTGAAGAAATATTTCAGACTCTTGTGGTCCTTGTACACTTCACAAGTTGTTCTATACATATAATGGTGCTAGATTTTCAGTGCGAACACTACAGGTGCAAGTTCAAGGTCATGGGTCGGATAATTCTTCTCGTGAGGTCGAAGTTGTCGAGAAACATAGGCAACTACCTTACCGTTTTGCATTAGCACACACCCCAATCCTTTATATGAAACATCACTATAGATTTGGAATCCATCTGGAGTCACTAATCTAGTTTTCAATTCTTGGAAGGCAGACTCTCTTTGGTCATTCCAATCAAACGGTGCATTTTCTGTGTTATATGAGTCAATGGCATAGAAAGTTTAGAGAAGTATTTCACAAGTCTTCTGTATTAACTGGCAAGCCCTAGAATGCTTTTAACTTTTGTCGTAGTAGTCGGTCTTGGCTAATTCAAAATAGTTGATTTAGATTTAGGGTAATAACCAAAACACTACACATATCCATTTGAGTTGGAATTAAAGGGCACGCACTTCCTTTTGTTTCATTTTTAAGGGGAAAAAAAAATAGGCTCTGATGGGTCGTTGAACACATCAAAATTAAATACTAAACTATACCAAATTCTATCAGAATAATGGCAAGTCCAGGTATCGATCCACAGGGACTATTGTGAAATTAAACTAATTTAATTGTTAAATTCCTAAATTAATTTTGATAAAAAGATTGAATGATCATAACCTAATTTAATTAACAAATAAATTAAACTAAGGAATTAAATTATCAATATTAAATGAAATTGGATTTACTAAATTAGGGAAAAATCCTAGGGTAGAGAATTCAACACTAACCACATAATTAGGGTTTCTAATTGAAATTAATTATGCTATGGTTTGAACGAATTAATGCTTCACAACTACAAGCTCAAAGCATTTAACAAGAAGATTATCACATTCAATGTACGAGCACGAACCATCTCAAGCAATACGACTCGTTCACTCTAAACTAGGGTAGTGATACGACTCGTTCTTCGTATCATGGTTCGTCCCATACCTTGAATGTGAAGGAATAGAAAACTCATGTATAGATAATATTCAACAATCACAGAAAGTCAAATATTTGAAAAGTTAATGAAAATTATATATAAAGAATTTTTAAAACACCATACAATGGCTCAAACCTTACATAATATAAAATCAAAAAAGAAAACTACATAATTACATGGCTAGGGTTTCATCAAAACCCTAGAAAAGAAGACTAGCCACTCATGGAGGAGTGGAAGGAGGTAGAAGGAGAAAGAACCACCATGGGAGACATCCTTGAAACTTTTGTTTTTCTTCTTTTCCAAACCCTAGCCTCCCTCTTTATGTCCAAACAATTTCAGAACCCTAATCTAGCATTTTTCTTGTCTTTTTATACTTCCAATCCCGTCTAAACAGGTTTAAAACGTCGGTTTGACTTTCCCAGAAAAAGTCAACGCACGTGCGGGAAAGTCAACGCACATGCGGAAAAGTCAACGCACGTACGGGAAAGTCAACGCACGTGTAGAAAAAGTCAACACACATGCAGGAAAAATCAACTCTGCCAAAATTCTGTCTTTTTGCTCATTTTATGCTCCGACGATGTATAACCGTAATACGAATCGTTCACTCTAAACTAGGGTAGTGATACGACTCGTTCCTCGTAGCATGGTTCGTCCCATACCTTGAATGTGAAGGAATAGAAAACTCATGTATGGTTAATATTCAACAATCACAGAAAGTCAAATATTTGAAAAGTTAATGAAAATTATATATAAAGAATTTTTAAAACACCATACAATGGCTCAAACCTTACATAATATAAAATCAAAAAAGAAAACTACATAATTACATGGCTAGGGTTTCATCAAAACCCTAGAAAAGAAGACTAGCCACTCATGGAGGAGTGGAAGGAGGTAGAAGGAGAAAGAACCACCATGGGAGACATCCTTGAAACTTTTGTTTTTCTTCTTTTCCAAACCCTAGCCTCCCTCTTTATGTCCAAACAATTTCAGAACCCTAATCTAGCATTTTTCTTGTCTTTTTATACTTCCAATCCCGTCTAAACAGGTTTAAAACGTCGGTTTGACTTTCCCAGAAAAAGTCAACGCACGTGCGGGAAAGTCAACGCACGTGCGGAAAAGTCAACGCACGTGCGGAAAAAGTCAACGCACATGCGGGAAAAATCAACTCTGCCAAAATTCTGTCTTTTTACTCATTTTATGCTCCGACGATGTATAACCTGATTGACACTCAACACACATAAAATATACGGTTTGACCAGCAAGTGAAGTTAAGAGATTCTAATTAACAGCCTCAATGATGTACATTTCGGTCTTAATTAGGCTCTCACATTTATGGGTTTAGAATTTATACAAAATTGTTTGGTTTGATTGAGATTCAGGTTTGGCATATTATCAAAAAGTCAAAAAGTTATTCAAAAAATTAAAAAGTTAATACTATTCACCAAAAGTCAACAATTACGGCTGCACAACTCTCAATCCTAATTTTTCTCCACAAATCAATTTTTACAATTTTTTATTATACGATTTTTCATAAAAAGTCAAAAAGTTAATCCAAACATTCATATTTTTTTCGTTAATTTTTTAGTCTAAAAAGACAAAAAGTACACTTATTTAGGACACCCCAAACAACCCCTAAATTAATAAAATATAAAATTTATGAGTAAAATAAATTTAAATAATTAATCGTTATTTAATATTTATGAATAAATTTTGAATTTAAAATGAGCTTGCATTATTTAAGATAACAACATGAAACAGTGGAATAAAAAACACTAACATTTAGTTTATTTGTGACAACAAAAAAGCACAACAAAAGACTGAGTCAAACAACACATTCAAAACCAAAACCAAAACAAAAATGTAGATGAAGAAATTGGATTGAAACAGGCAAATTTCCCACATCTACAGGGAGCTGGTAAGCAAATCTTGTGCACCCGAGGTCGGAGAAACAAATGCGAGGAACTCTTTGTCGGCTTCAAGTTTGGCCAAGTCATCCTCTTTCATAAAAAACCAAGCTTCAATGCCAACACCTGCTCTCCTAGGTAGAAAATTAATAGAATTCTTGAACGGTAACGTAGCGAAACTCACCCATATCGGTTTTCCCCACCCAAAATCTACTTCGTATAATGGGAACAAGAAATTACTCGCAAAGACGAGAGAATTATTCTCTAATTTGCTAGAATCCACTACATTGGTAGAGCTCGACATTTCAATCACATTGCCTCCCTCTTGTAAATTTTTGACATAATCACTGTCGATTTTCTTTATCGCTTCCCTCATTTGATTAATAAAACGACAACCCTCATTTCCATTACAGTCTATGGATGGTACAAATGTAGCAAAACGACTCAGATTACCAAAATAGGACTCTGGTAACGGTGGATTTGCTCGCCCCCGTAGGTTCATTGCTTGAACCACTGCTCTCCCTCCTCCATTGGCAGCCACCAATCTACTCCATATGAAAGTAGTAAGTACCTCAAGCCGGGAGGGAGGTTTCGGGTTATCTAACCCCATAACATACTTGGATTTAAGGGCAGATATGGCAGAGTCGCTAAACACGAAGCTTTTCGCTACAGTCTTCTCTTTCGTGGTGCCCGAACTTCTTTTGTAACCCGAAATGTCTCTTGGTGGGAAAAATGTGGCAATGTCGAATCGAGGAACGGGCATATTGGAGACGTCAACACCTCTAGCAAGCTTAGCCCAGAAATTGAGGAAGGTCACTACAGACAACCCATCTGCTATTTTGTGAGAAAAGCACGTACCGATGGCTACGCCGCCACAGTCGAAGATGTTGACTTGTACCGACAAGGGTATGTCACCGGCATCGTCAAGTTGGTCACAAGGAAGAAACTTGTTGAGATCATCAAAGTTCGGGTTTCGAACAAAGTTTGAGAGTTGGGATTGGACTCTGGATTCCAAGAAGGGGACACCATCGTCGTTGCACTCGACATAGAGATTGTTTCTGAGACGCCCTGCTAAAGGGTAGAACCGAGTTAGGGCCTCGGAGAGAGATTTCTTTAGGAGGTGACATTTTTCCGAGGAGGTGGGTCTGATACAAACGTCTGACGTGTAGTAGTGAATGTATGGAATAATGTTTCGAATGTTTATTTGATCGATGAAGGATTGTTGCAAAATTCGATTGTGGTCTGGAGTTGGAGAAGATGGTTTGATTGTTTCTCTTGATGTCACCACCACCTTCATGTTTTTGATGTGTTGAGAAAAGAAGAGGAAGAAAAGAACTTCCAGAGAAGAGAGGTTTGAAAACAAACAAGCAAAAAAAAACTTTCAACTCCATTTTGTTACTCGAAATATCGAGGCTCGAAAGGCCCGACTTCTTTGTACACCCACTCCATTTCCTTGTACAGGTCATCCTTGTTACAAACAGAACTCAACCAAAACCAAGAGAGAAGAGGAAGCTCAGTGTTCATCTTTATCAAGCTAGGTGTTCATCTCATTTGTATTTCAATTCCAAATTGAATACGTGTTAGCTGTAGCATCATCATATGCCATGTTTAGAATAGCCGAGCCTATTGTAGTTGCATTTTTGCATGTGTTGCATTAGGCATTTCTGTATAGTTAGGATAATGCATGAATTTCTAACATAGCTTCTGTTTTGGCTTGGAGTACCCGGTAAGTGTTCATGCTTTAGCATCCTTGTATGTGTGTGAGTGACTGCCATGATAGCATGCTTACCATGAGGCTAACTGCTTATGTGATATAACTGCCTGAATGCCTATGGGTGAAGGTTGGGTTATCTGAATTGGAACAATTCATCAATTGTGAGTTTTAAGCCCACTTGAGAGTGGCAAATCATCATGTTTTTTAAGCCCACTTGAGGGTGGCAAATCCACATTTTAGCCTACTTGCGAGTAGCAAACCGTTTTTCGAAACAAACATGAAATGTTTTGTTCCAATTCAGGCGATCCAGTCTATACTTGTATGCTGTGTGCATCACATAGTAAATTTAGGCTAATAACCAGAATAAGAACGCATAATGTTTTCAAAACTAGATATCATGGTTAGTAGAGGCCGATCTTTGATCTGGCGAGCGGGGGTGCTCACGAAGTGACCTTCCCCAATCGTACCCAAGTTCCTGAGCCGAGGCAACTTTGGTGATGACGGACACGTGGCCTTAGGCAACGAGTCAGGGTTTCCTAAATTTTCCAAAATAAAATATTTAGGTGGTGACTCTGTATCTGGCAAAGCAGTCCATGTTTGACACTTCTTTCAAAAAAAATCTGTTTTCGAAAATGATTTGCCGGATTTAGACTCTTTGATGATTCCTTGGTCTTGCATTGCACTTTGCGAGATTAGATACAGGACCGTGACACAATTGAGTCCGAACTATAGTGAGGCCCAAGGGCGCGTCTACAGCAGTGTGCTTTCAAAACTATCCACGACTTCAATACTAATTTTTCAAGTAAAGTTAACATTTTCTCTCTTATGGGGTAGTTTTTGAAGTCTCCCTGACTCATTTCCCTAATTTTAATTTTTTAATATAATAAAAAGTTAAATAAAAATTAAAATAACGAAATTTAGATAAACATATGATTTGTTAATCTATATCTATCAAAAATATTTGTATCTAAATCTTTATTTTGATTTATTCAAATTTTTCCTCTCCCTCTCCCTCTATCACATATATTACAAATTAAAAAAATTGAAATAATGAAATTTAAATATGATATGATTTTTTAATTATTTTTCAATCTATACTACACTATATATATAACCAAATGTAATGTGTTCTAAGAAAAATTTAAAATGATTATTCTTAAATTTTCATAATTTTAATATTTCTCTTTTCTACTTAACAATCCTCTTTGATTGTCTTTTATGTTTTCTTTTTTGCTTCATTTTTTAATTGTTAAATTCATTTTCAATGGAAATTAATTTCATAGCCTATAGATAAGATCTAAATTTCAAAATTGAAATATTATTTTATTTATTCTATTTTCTCATGTTTATCTTATTTTATCTTTAAATTTGAACATAATTTTTTATTTTCTTTATAACGGTTCTGGTTTTGACCCGACCTATTTCATGCTCTTAGATTCGGGAATCCATATCCTTAACTATTGTTCATTTCATTTTCATCTTGTTGCTAGTTGAGTTTGGTTATTTGGGAGTTATGGTTGTATTTGAAACAGGTTGGGAGTTAGTTTTTCAAAAAGAGTTGTTGTCTAGATTGTTGTTTGTTCGTTTGAGCGGTATTTATTGCGCTCGAGCGGTCTTTTGCAGGTCTAAACTTCTGGGAGAGGGTTATTGTGTGCTCGAGTGGTGTTTTTGGTCGCTTGAGCAGTGTCGCTTATTGTGTCTAATACTCGAGCGGTCTGTACGTACATCAGGCCAAGAAAAGGATTTTTTGAATCACTTTTTCATTCCCCTCTCTCACTAAACATTTCAAAAATCCTAGATTTTCTCTCTCTCTCTAGTTCTTGCATTCAAGCCCCAAATACTCACAATCTATTGATTTCTTCACCCTAGCCCTTTGGAGAAAAAGGTAGAGCACGACGAGAGTTTCGTTTTAATCAAAGGAGTTATCATTTTCGGCTTTGCCAAATTTCAACCCTTGCTCTCTCTTGTCTTCTATTCTTGAGGTAGGAATTTCTTCAACCTTTGGTATGATTTTTACCTTAGTTATTTGTCCATTAGAAGAATCTAGTGATTTGGGAATTTTGAGTTAAACCTAGGGTTTGGTTTTAAAATGTAAAAGAGATGTTTTCAAATGAGTTCTTGGGAAAGGTTGTAGGGATATGTTATTGGTTGAGATATGTTGAAATAGTGGATTTCTTTACTTAAAATTGATTTTGAAAGTAAATAGGGTTTTGTTCTAAAATCATGGGTATTGGTTTGTGAAAAAGAATAGAAATGTTGGATTTTGTAAGAATAGAACAATGTATATGTTGATGATGATGGAGTTGGATATATAATATCACTCTCATTTTGAAATTGATGAGATTTTATCTTTTGTTGGAAATTATCTATTGTAGATAAATATCTATTTCAGGCTATCAGTGGAGGATAGCTTTGATTGTTGTAGAAATTGCATAAGGATTAGGTGAATTGAAACTAATTACTCATACATCTTGAATTGAGTATCGTTTCATACTTACGCGTTGAAAATGTATTATTTTGAGAAAAATGGGTGAATACCTTAGTGAATCTGGTTAGGGGATCTGGTTATGGTTATTATGTTGGCATGTGTATCCTTGGTAAAAGTCCCGAAACTCGCGCAATTTGGTGTCAATCCTTCTAGTTAGTACCGGTAAAATGGCTTTGGTAGTGTATGTATAGCCTACTAGCAGAGAAGTACCTAGAGATTCTCAGTGTTTTGTATCCGTTGTCCTATTTTCTTATATAAAATGTTATTTTCATAACTTGATATATAATTTGGCATTGCATTGTTTTGAGATGGAAATATGAAACATTTGACAAATGGCATGTATATGCATTCACCTTATGACTTCGTTAAGATTCATATATTGTGTTAAAATATCTCTATTAGGTTTTGACTCACCCTACATGGAAACAACTTTCAGGTGCTGATGATATACCTCTACTAAGGACATAACTTGGGAGAATTTGGAGCCAAGGATTTCATTTTGTTATTTGATGTAATTATTTTTGTACAAGTCTTGGGCTTTAATTGTATTGAGTTGAATTCATTTTTATGTACCCAAGTATCAACTTGGAAAGATGTAGCCATTAGGGCATCTAATTACTTGATTTTACTTTTATTTTTATTCATGTATCCATGTCATATACTATAGATTCAGAATATAGGATTTATAAATATATACACGCATATGTCATTCTTTGTATGATCAAGATTATAAATGGAATATAAAATATGAAGTTATTGATAATTTGTAAAGAATGTTACGAGATGGGTTCGGGGCGTTACATTCTTCATAATTCCCTCTTTCTTGGAGTTTATCTTTTATTTGAACTTGATTGTCATAAATTCTCATATATTTCAGCTTAATCTTTTTAAAGTTTATCTTCATGTTAAACGTTATTTTATCTTTTAAAATCATCAATTAATTATCCATATAAATTTTAAATATGATAGAATTCCAAGTATAACTTTTGTCTAAGTTTAATCTTTTCAATATAAAAACAAGTGCCTGAAAAAGGAACAACAAACATGAGATTGAAAAGAGAAAAAAAATCACAATCAACATTGAGCCCTTTTCAACTCCTCTTCATAGTGCCTTCAAAAATTTTGCATTAAATTTCAAGTCACAAGTGATTTTTTTTTATTTATTTTTATTTTCAATTGTATTTACTTTACATTTGAAATGTGTACTTACATGTGTTTTTTGCGTTTGTAGGAAATAGAGTTTATGTAAATGGATATTATTATTTTATTTTTCTTTAAATTCTATTTATGTTTTTATTTCTTTTATTTCTTCTTACAATCTGTATTTTTTTTTATTTCTTTCTTTTTTGGCTAATAATGTGTCATTTAATTGAGATTTCTTTGTTTTTTTTGAAGTACTACTATTATTAATTTGTGACTCTTTCACTTATTGACTATTTGTGTTTAATTTTTTTAGGTGCAGATGTTAGATTGGAAATGAAGAGAGCATCAAAATTTATTTGGATATGGGTTTATGTTTTAAATTTAATCATCAATTATAGCGATCCTGGTTTTCCCTGTTGTTATTGAACTGTAATCCGGACTTGGTTCCGTAGATTTGTTGTTGTCTTATCCTCTTTACATTTGTTTTGAGACGTAAACCACAAATTTCTTCTTTTTTTTTAAATGACTTTTTATGCAAATTCAAAACTTAAGCAAATGCAAGCGATCTCATATTTAAAATGTTAGGTTTTTTAAAAAAAAAATAATTTAAAGATTTCTATTCTTTATGTTTGTCAATTCAACTTTACTACTATTATTAATTTGTGACTCTTTCACTTATTGACTATTTGTGTTTAATTTTTTTAGGTGCAGATGTTAGATTGGAAATGAAGAGAGCATCAAAATTTATTTGGATATGGGTTTATGTTTTAAATTTAATCATCAATTATAGCGATCCCGATTTTCCCTGTTGTTATTGAACTGTAAACCGGACTTGGTTCCGTAGATTTGTTGTTGTCTTATCCTCTTTTCTATCCCTTACTCTTATCTTAGAGTTTTGGGTTGTGTTGGACTTGTTAGGAATAAGTTGGTTGCGTTTTAAAACTTAGAATCTTTGCCCAGTTTTTGGTCTCTTCGCTCGAGCGGGGGTTTCGGAGCTCGAGCGGGAAAATCACCTTCCCAGTACTTCCTCTGTGGTGTTGGACGCTCGAGCGTGAGGTTTGACGCTCGAGCGGGAGTTTGTGTGTGACGCTCGAGCGGGGAGTTGGACGCTCGAGCGGGGACCTGTTCTGCAAAACTTCTGGATGGTGGTATCCGCCGCTCGAGCGGGGGTT